GAAGGAAGGAAGGAAGGAAGGAAGGAAGGAAGGAAGGAAGGAAGGAAAGGAGGAACTCTGGGAGATGAAGTCCACAAATGTAATATGGCCAAAGTTGAGAAAAACTCTGGGCTCGCCATCCAAGGTCCAAAGAGCCATGAAAATTTACCTTCTCCTCCTGAATCCCGTAGCATTGTATCTGCCACAACGACAATCGGTCGCCTTAAAACATGGGCCAATACAAAAACGTGAAACTCCTCCAGGCTCTCGTAGACGGGGTCTTCCGAATTCTCCACTCTAAGAAACAAACACAGCCACTATCGTACCAGAGCTGAAGAGGCTTGCTAGAAAGACACTCCTGAGAGAAGCAGAGCTCTGCAAAAGGACCTTTGGGTTGGATTCAAGAACTAGCTAGTTCTCCCAGCATGAAATGTAAATGGGATCAAAGCTATAGTTGCAAACTTAAATGAAGTACAGGGAATGAAATTTAATGTGCTGCATTTATTAATTTCCCCTTTTGTCTGTCTAAAAAAAAAATAAACCGAATACAATTCCATAGCAATACCTAAAAGGGCTGTGGAGGCCACATCTAAGACTTTATGGGGCCAGGTGCAACCCTAGTTTACAGTTACTTACCATGAAATATATGCGTGTACTTTGTCGCATGCGTGAGAGAAACTTAATACAGTAAGCCTTGCAAATTAACAAAACAACGAAGCCCCAAATTGTAGGTACCTATTAAATAACATCGTACACCATTTTTAGTACATCGATTCTGTGCAGGTAAATTTTTGCCTATAAAGTTGGCAGGTATGAATATCAAAGGGGTCTTGAAGACCCCTTGAGATATATTTCTGTCTGGAATCTAAGAACTGTCACGTGTAGCCACTTTACGTGAACCACTGATCGTCATTTCCGTGGTACCAGAATTGGCAGGTAGACACCGAAACTTCTACAAAACTCTGGAAGTTGGCAATGTTTATATCTCTTTTAAGGCGTCTATTTGCTCATTAAAACCAAAACAAAACAAAAGATCTAAGGAGGCAGCTAGCAAGCTAGGAGAACCCTTCAAAATCTGTCCTTTTGTTTTCTTCTTTTTAAAAACAGAGGCCGCTTTGAAGCAACCGTTTCGTGGGTTGAAAGCTTGTTTTGGCACCAAAGGAAATTAGCCCATCTATAATTTAAAGGCCAGGATGGTAATTTCTCCTCCGCAACGTTATTATGAAAGAACTGGGTTGGCTTTGAAGACTTCCCTGCTTTCTTTCTGCACTTCGACTTACAACCGTTAGTAAACCGACGGGAAGAATGGGATGGTTGCCCAACCTCTGCTATTAATGGACAACACCGACCCTTTCTAGATGTTATTGCCTCGAAGAGGGATCTGCAGGAAGGTCATAAAAGACACAATTGTGGCCAGAACCAGGTATCTGAAGCTCCACCCCCTTTTAATATACATCTATCTATACCAGGGGCCTCCAACCTTGGCAACTTTAAGACTTGTGGACTTCAACTCCCAGAATT